AATCTTTAAGTGCCATATATAGAGGAGCTAAGACAGAAAAAGCATGTAACCTCTGTTAAACACTTTCCAGAGTAAGAAAAATGCAGTTGGTAAATGGAAGTGATCAATTTAGAAATTAATGTGAAGTGGAACAGGTCAGTTTAAACTGGAGGAAGTTATAAAATTGTTAAAAGGTTTGCTTCAGACAATTTTTTGGGTCACTCCTACAGCTTTTACTTTAAAAAAACCACAAACAACAGTATGTCAAAGGCAGCCTATCTAATCTAATCTGCAGCAGATTAGAAGAAGAAATACACCTAAATCGCTGAATTTCCACAGAGATGTCATGTCTTGTCAAATGCAGACATTACAGTATGCTCACTGCATTTGCAAGACTGAGGCTGTGCATTAGCTCTGACACTGAAATGGAAATGCCACCTTGTCCAGGGAATTCAACTCAGGTTAAAGACAAAGTCTCTATTTTTTACCCCCTGCCAAAACAAGCACCAAGCCAATTTACGAGGACTCAAATTCCAAAAGCTCAAAAGATTCTGCAATCACTTGCTGAACATTTGGTGCCAAGATGCAGGCAGTACTGCTGCCTCAGCTGCGTCCTACCAGCAGGAAGGAAGAGGGGTAATGCAAACAAGGTGTTGTGTAAGCACAACAAATCAGAGCAAAAATCTCCACTTGTAGAATACTGCCAAGTGCATGGACTTGACTCTTTTCTAACTTACTAAATGCCCAGGTTATGCAAGTTTTAATTCTGACAGCTAATTTTAGTTTGTACTTTGGAAAAAATAACATAGCAAGTTGCAATGTAGAGGCAACATTCAAGTTCCAGGTAACAAAAAAAAAAGTTCTTAAAAAAATTATGTAATTTTGGCTCAAGGGAGCACAATAGACAAAGCATTCATGCTACTTATTTTCAGTATCCAAGTGCCAATTCCTTTAAAGTTTTCCACTAAAAAGGCTTCAACACTCTCTTAACTTGTTAATTCAATGACTTTAATGAATGCATGCTTATTTCTGGGCACACACAAGCTTCAAAAGGAAACATTACATCAGAGCTAGAATGCCTCCCAGAAATTCCCTACTCTTTCCATTTCTACTCAAACATAGAAATAACAGGAACAAGGCAACAGGGCATTACACATTTTATTTGGCAGGGAGTTTTTTGGAGTCTAAAGACTGTATTTCAGAGTCAGAAATCTGTAGACATTAGGTGACTACTTTGGAGTTTGCTTATGTAAATCAAAGAGGTCTGGGTTTTAGTGTAAGTATGGCATATTAATGAAGAAACCATGGACTAACTGCAGCTATTGGCAAACCAACAATCCACAAGTCTGGAATAAAAAAGAGCTTTAAATTTGGACCAACACAGGAATAACCAGAAACCCACTCTCAGGAAATGATCAGAAAACCACAGACTTATTTTTCTACAAAGTTTGTCTCAGGAACAAAAGAGAGATCACATTCAGACCAAATCAGGTGAGTAAAGTTTTCAAGGACTTGGTGGAAAATTTTAATTACACAGTTGTCACCATCATTGCAGGGCACGTGAAGTTTTATCTGCTGTTGGCTTTTGCATTCAGTGAAGGGCAAAATAAGAAGCTTAAGTAAATTTTAACTGCTCACGTGTTTAAAATATGCAGGTTATATTTGAAAGTATAATAGCTACTGAGTATGCAATAGATCAGAATACACACCCGGTATCTCCTAATCCGTGAAGAAAAATGACCTGAGGGAAATAAAAGAGCAACAACACACACACACGAAAAAAAAAAAAAATTTAAAAAAAAAAAAAAAAAAAGACAAAAGGCAGAGAGGTTTAGGATCACTGAACAACCACGCGCACCTCGCCCACGAGCCCACCCAAGGTCAGGCGCAGCTCGGAGCGCGGCACCACTTTCTCCCAAGAAAACTCCGCTTCGCTCACTTCCCCTCCCCGGCCCCGCCGCCATCAGCGGCCGCTCCCCGCGGGCACCGCTGACCTTCCAGGTGCCGAGCCCGGCCCGCCTCGGGAAGGGAAGGGAAGGGAAGAAGGCAGAGACCCGCCGGGCCGGGCGCCATCCCCCTCGGCCGGCCGCGCCTCGCCCCCCGCCCGCCGCGCCAACAAAGCGGGGCGCGGCGCTGCCTGCCCGCGCCCCCGCCCCACTCACGGCGGCCGTGGCCTTCCTGGCGGCCGGGACGATGGCAGGCAGAGGAGCCGACATGTTGTTGCCGCACATGCACCGGGCTGCGGGGCGGCCGGCGGGACTCGGGCCAGCGGCGGGGAGGCGACGCGGGAGGCGGCGGAGCCGGGTGGGAGGGGCGCGGGCGGGCGGGCGCCTTGTGCTGTGCTGTAAGGCCCGGGGGAAAAAGGAAATTACGGTATTCTTAAATAGGTGAAATAGAAAAGGCTAAGTCACGGGATGGCTGGAAAAGCAGCACAAATATAGCAAACAGCAGGGCTAGACGGGGCTCATCTGCACGCATCGGGGCAGATGCCTCCACCGCCGAATTAAATCTCTCGGCTTACAGCTCCCAAGTCACTGATTCTTACTCATCTTGAAATGTGTTAGGCTATTCAGGCACTCTGGTTGAAGTTACTGGATCATTCCAGTCCATTCCAAATACTTAGACCGACTCTGAATATGTATGGCAAACACATTTCTATCAGAAGGGAATACTTTGTTCTTTGTCTTCTATTCCATACATCTTTGTCAGACATTTACTCCCAGAAAATCAATATGCTCATTGTGTTTGCCGGGTGGTAAGTGGCTGCCGTGGATGCTTGTTTGGCAGCTCCAACAGCAGCTGAATGCACACTCTGCTTCTTTTACATCCTTCCCACTGCTGTGTTCCACACCAAACAGGGACCATTTTTCACAAAGCTTTTGCTCATCATCATCACCAGCACTGGCTGCATAAAATCTGTTGGAGGAGCCTTTATGGCAGATGTGTAACATTAAATACACATCCTCTTTTGCCATGATTGTTAGGCTGCTTTGAGACATAGCATTGATGCCAGGGCATCCCTGTTATTGCAAAAAATTGATTATTTTCTCAGGTAAACTTTTTGTGGTTTGATTTGTCTCTAATTTAGTGTGTGCACCTGCCTCATGTACTGTACCCAACTCAAGTCTGTTAAGAAAATACAGTTTGTGCACTAAAAATTCTTCAAAGATTAAGAACTGCACATTATGTCAGGTGCTTATTAAGTATGCTCAACCTGACTCTTGCTCTAGATCATGTTTTTGGGACACAAACAAAATTCTCCTTTCCCTCTCTACTCTGCTATTTACCATGTAAATGTCACTTCCATAAGGTGAGCTGCTGCTGAACCTCCAGCCTAAGAAGTAATAGTCTGCTAACAAACAGAACAAGATTTCAATATTTCAGTCAGTAGAGCTGGAGTGATCTTACCTGAATTCCCAGGTGCTGCTAGCATGGCACTGGGGAAACGTGAGCTCTGCATGGGCTGGGCATGGGGCAGTCTGCTGGGCACAGACAAGTGTTCCAGAAACTGACCTTCAGGAACGCCAAAGGAATTGCTGAAAACATCTGAGCTTTCAAAAACTGCTACACTGGCTGTCTCTTCATAGTGAGATATCTATCTTAGGTATGACACTTTTCTACCTGATTTGAAATTTCTGTTTACAGCAGTAAGAGTTTTACAAGGCAAAGCATGCTTTAAATTATTTCGTTTTCTCTGCCCTAGAGGATAAAATGGGCTTAGATAAGATGGTTGTCCATGCCAGCATCTTGTGTATTGTTACAGTGTAATTTTTCTTAATTTTTTTGAAGGGGGTAAGAAGCTACATAGATTTCGTACTGAAACTCACAGATTTCTGCAGCATGATTGTCATTTTACCTCCATTTATTCTCAGAGCTGGCAGAGCTGCTGCCTGATCCCTTCTCCAATCTGAAGCAGACATTGGACATGGAAGAAGATACTGTCACACAGAAGTTTCAGGATGGAGAGCAGGATATTACACTGAGGAGTATCAGCTTCCACAATGGGAGCTGTCCTCTCTGCTCTGTAACTCCACAATGGCAGCTTCTACAATTCAGTTCCTCACTGCACTGAACCTGCACCCCACACACCCTTCCCAGCAGAAGGAATATGCTGAAAGAAGCTGCTGCATGGTTTTCCACTAGGAACACATTTAAATTTAACAGACTGAAATGTGAAAATAATAACAGATGTGGTCAAGTACTACAGCAGCACTAGGAACATCTCTGTCTCAGTCTTGACTGCAGTAATTTTCTTCCCAGCGTTTGGTGAGGGGCTCTGTTTTGGATTTGTGCTGAACACAGCAAGGGTAATTCAGAGATGTTTTTGTTATTGCTCAGCAGGGCTTACACAGAGCCAAGGCCTTCTCTGCTTTTCACATTGCCGTGCTCATGAGAAGACTGGGAATGCACAGGAGGATGGGAGGAGACACAGCCAGGACAGGTGACCTCAATCACCAAAGGATATTCCAGACCTTATGGCATCATGCTCAGTATAGAAAGCAGGGAGAAGAGGGAGAAGGAGGGGGGATGTTTTGGGTGATGGTGTTTGGCTCTCCAAATAACCATTACACGTGGTGAGGTCCTGCTGCCTTGGAGACATCTGACCACCTGCCTACCCATGGTAGAAAGTGAATTAATTCCTTCTTTTGCTTTGCTTGGATGCGCAGCTTTTGCTTTCCCTGGTGATCTGTCTTATCTCAACCCACGAGTTTTCTACTTTTTATCCTTCCAGTTCTCCCCCGCTCCCGCTGCTGGGGGTGGGCCCGTGCTGCGGCCGGGGTTAAGCCAGGGAATCTCCACCGCAATGGATAATTCCAGTACCTGCACGGGGCACCTGAGCAAGGCTCGGCGCACACAGGCCAGCCGGGTTTAGATGCAGCCCGATGGTTTTAGAGCCTCGGCTGAGAGCTCAGTAATAAAACAGCGGGGCTGGGAAGCGAAAGGCCCCGGGCGCCCCGTTCCCAACCATTGGAATTCCGAGACACCGGGCCCGCGCGACACCGCTGCCGACGCGCGGCAGGTGCGCTTTGCGGCGGCGCCGTAAAGCGGCGCGGCCGGGCGCCCTTGGCGGGAGCGGCCATGAGCGGGAGCGGCGCGAACCGGGCCCTGGAGCTGCTGCGCTCGCTGCCCAGGGTCAGCCTGGCCAACCTAAGGCCCAACCCCGGCTCCAAAAAGCGGGTGAGTGCCTGCGGCCCGCCGGGGGGGCCCTGGCGGCAGGGCTGTGCCCCGGCAGCGGTGTGGTTTGTCCCGGCGCTGTCAGAAGGACACGGCCCTGGCACGGAGAGCGGCCTGGCCAGAGGAGGCGGGGACAGGCAGGGCTGTCAGAAGGACACCTGGCACGGAGAGCGGCCTGGCCAGAGGAGGCGGGGACAGGCAGAGCAGAGGATGGCACTGCTGTGTGCGTGTGCGTGTGTGTGTGTGTGTGTGTGTGTGTGTGTGTGTGTGTTGGCCCGGCCTTGCCCTGTGCGTGCCTTGTGGCCATCCCCACAGAGCTGGGCGATGGCTGGGGCTGCCTGAGCCTCGGGGCGTTGCTGGGGCTGGACGGGAGTGGTACAGGGCTTCGAACTCCAGGGGTTCGTGGGATGGAGTAATGTGTGTGGAAATGGAAGGTTAGAAGGTGTGCAGAGCAAAGGAATGTGATGCCAGCTGACATTCTTGTTACGGTTTCTCAAAAACAAACCTGTAATGTGTCTCCTTATAAATGGTAGAGAAATTATGAAAAGAAACCAGGGAGAAACCCTTGTGGTTTGCGGGAATATTACTGAACAGGGAGATGAAGTTCAAAGGCTGAAACCATAGGAACAGAGAGGGAACAGCAAGCAGCATTCTCCTAAAAGTGCTGAAGACTACTGAATAGTACAGAATTCAAGTGCAGTTTGTGCTAGACTCAACCATCCCTGCCACCAAAGGCAGCTGATTTGTCCCCAGACTATTTGTGATGCCAACCTAAAGGTGTGCTCTGCAAAAATCACATTGACTGCTTTTCTATTTTTCCACTTAGAAAACATCTGTAACTTAATTTATCCTCAAGAAGGAGCATTTTGCTCAGTTGTTTATGTCTCTGAAATCCAATGTTTTGTAGGTACTGGTCTGTGCAGTAGTTGTCTAAATGTTCCCCTGGTTGTTTTGAAGGAAAGAAGACGAGGCCGTGGAAGGTACGGAGGTAGGAAGTGTGGCCGAGGTCACAAAGGAGAAAGGCAGAGAGGGAATCGGCCCCGGCTGGGCTTCGAGGGTGGCCAAACTCCATTCTACTTGGCCATACCAAAGTATGGATTTAATGAGGGACATAGGTAAGTTTCTAAACCTTTACTTGGAAATTAATCGTTGTCTGCATTTCTTGATCATTCTCCTGAAGCAAGAATCTAGCATGCCAAAACAGGCCTAACTGAAAAGTTCAACTTCCCAAATTCCTCTCAGGTTATTAGCTACTTTATCAGAAGAATCTCTCACTTCTTCTGAGATTATTATTTTAATTAATTATTTCCTGTTTTACACATCTGCTTATTTACTCTCTTCTCCTCATAATCCTTCATGTGTAGCATGAAATTCACTCTTCCAGCTGAGTGAATTTCTCCTCTGAAACTATTCCTTCATTCCTGTCTGTTTTAATTTTTGCTTCATAACCCAGTGAACTGCCTGGGAAGAGTCCCAGTGACTGGAGTGAGAATGTTTGGCATGGAAGTGTAATCCAAAGCCTTGCTTTGTTGTTTCTCCTCTCTTTATTCACCAGAAGCTCTGATCTGGCGCCAGCAAACAATTCTGCTTCTCTTTGTGGTTCTACCTTTTCAGCCCTCTGACACTGTGGTATTTGTCTGTCTGTGCCCTCCTTGTTACATCTAGGATCCTAACTAGCTCTTTTATGCCAAATCTGCTGGATGAAGCATTAAACCACCTTTCACCATTGTTCTCCTTGGGCATTTTGTCATGTTTAATGCTTCTGTCCTTTTTTCACATTGTACTTGTTTGTGTTGTGTCCTTGTTCCACCTTTTTAATGTTTAAGGTTATTCTTCTAGCATGTCTTTTCTCCAGTCACTGCTCTTACCTGGAGAGGTGTGTGTCAGTATTTTCCAATTTTCCTTCACTTACATTGATAATTAAAAAAATTTTATCAAAATTAATCAATTTTTTTGAAAGCTGGGTTTGTTTCATCAGATAGCATTTGTGTTTCCTGGGCCAGCAACCATTTTGTTGCTTTTTGATCTGGTCTTGCAAACTTCTGTGTCCTTACACTGCTGTTACAGGCAGTAGTAACAAAAGCCTGCTACACCGAGCAGACAGTTCAAGGATGAAAGGATAATGTGTATTTGTGAATTGTTAGACCTGATTTAATGTTCCATTTGCTGATACCACTTCCTCAAACAGCTGAGCACTTTCATATTTCTATTCTTAATGCATGCAGTAGAACTTACAGACTTGTCCCAGTTTAAGGGTTTCCTCTGAATCTTAATTTGTGACTCAAATTCTATTTCCAGGTACTGTTTTTTCCTCCTGTTTGCTAAATTATTGTAAAAGTAAACAAGAAGCACTTTCAATAGCTGAAATCAGTGCAAATCCACAGTCCTGCAAAGGAAATGCTGCAGAATGCAGACACTCAGCTTCTTATGGTAATAGTGGCTAAAAGGTCATGGATAACCAACAGCAAAAATCCAGCCTCCTGCAGTGACCAGAAATTATTAGGATCTTGCTGTTTTAATAACATCTGACAGCATGTGAAAACAAGAAAAAGTACTCTGTAGTTTCAATGTTGTTTGCAAAAATTCAGTGTCAGGCTGCTGTAAATGTTCCTGTGGCGAGCACTGTGAGTGCACTCAAGTGATGCTGTTGGGGTGGAGGGAGCACATGAACAATGTCTCTGCCTGTTTATCTGCACCTCACTCCTCCTTCTGCCTCCACTTCTTGAACCCTTTCTCTGTAAGGGGCTGCCTGACAGCACAAAGTCTTGGTGCTTGTCCTTTGTGCGTGGCTTGCCAGTAACAGAGATTAGCTGCTTCCCAGTTTTTGAGTTGCCACTCAGAGCCTTCTGATAGCAGCCATCAGATGGATTGTAAGAGGAAGTTTTGGGTATCAGCATAAATGGTGTGCATAGACAGGAATAGGCTCTGGCACTGGAAAACTCTGCTAGGGATTGGTTTGTACAGTAAAGTTAAAACTTGAGTACAAAAGCAGGTTCTGCTGAAGCCAATGGCTGTTGACAAGAGATTCCTGCTCCCTTTGGGGAATGTGGGTTAATGTATATTTTGTCAATATTTCTCTTCCTTGATGGTGTTTTTAGGGAAATTCCTTTCAATACTTTCTGAGATGTCAGGTACAGTGGTAATGGATGAGAAAATCTTGCTGGATGTAAGCTATGCACATGCAGAATTTTGCTGATAGGCTTTGACTGCATTTGTATGGGGGGAGATGTTAGGTTTTTTGACAGTCTATCAGCAAAGCACCCAAGGTGGATTTGGTTTGAAAGTGGTAGTTATTTACAGTCTTGTTAGTTTGCCAAGAAATGTTGACACTGTCATGTCTTAGTATTTTTTTTGTTTAGGAGTAGATAAAAACCAGAATATCTCAGTTGACCAGTTGCTATTAAAACTTCAGTTTTGTAAACTTCTCATTGTTTTATTTGGGTTATTTGTTTTGGGTTTTTTTTGTCTTTCTCTCCCCAGCCTCAGACGTCAGTACCAGCCTCTGAGCCTTCAGAGGCTGCAGTACCTGATTGATTTGGGCAGAGTTGACCCCACGCAGCCGATTGACTTAACTCAGCTCACTAACGCCAGAGGTGTGACAGTGCAGCCCCTCAAGAGGGACTACGGTGTCCAGCTGGTGGAGGAGGTATGCAGACAGCACACTTGGTACTCCAGGCTTTCAGGTTGTCATTCCCCTGGTTTGGAAGCATCTTTGATTCTCCAAGTTAGTTTGCTGTGGGACTTTTGTGGATCATAAATCCACTAGAGGGCACTGTGTGTCAGCAAAAAAAAGAAATAACTCGGGAGGATGACTTCATACCCAAGGGACTGTAGAAATCAGAGTTAAGGAGTACATAACAAAAGGCTGAAGAGGTGTTTTACAACAGAAAACTGCAAAATGTATTAAAAATGTACTGGAAAAATGTATTAATATTTTGGAAATTGAAAGGTTTTTTATTCAGCCCATGTGACAGAGAGCAATTTGGTTACCTAACTTTGTGCGGAGAACAGACAATTCATAATATTTTTGCAGGATTTAATGTTCCTTGCAAGTTTTCAGAGAAGAATAAATGTATGTCTTAAAATACTCACTTTAATGTTACTGTAATATGTGTTGAAATTTACAGGGTGCTGATATTTTTGCAGCAAAAGTAAATATTGAAGTGCAAAGGGCATCTGAGTTAGCAATTGCAGCCATAGAAAAAAATGGAGGCGTAGTAACAACATCGTTCTATGACCCAAGGAGCTTGGGTAAGAACTTCTTTTAATTTCTGCCTTTTTTTTTTTTTTTTGGATGTGCAAAGATTAAATGATCCAAATTAAAGTTTCAAACACAATTCTTAGTAGAAAGTCATCAGTTTCTAAAAGTTTCAAAAACAGTTACATGTATGTTTATGGAATTCTGCAATACTGTGGGTTGGGAAGGACCTTAAAGATCATCTAGCCACCAATGAGGAATGATAATGCATCCTCAATTTTGTGGTTTTTAACCATTCACCTGTTTAGCCCTTCCAGTGTTAATAGTTGTATACCAGTCAACCAGTTAAGGAAATCTAAATAGCTTTGTAAATAAAGGTACTAAAAATACTGTTTTGCTGGATTTTTGTCTTCTGTTTCCCATGTTTAATAGCACTAAGAAAACTCAGGAAAAAATAGATTTAAAAAACACTGTGGATGTTTATATTTTTAATTTAAAATGTTTTTCCACTTAAAGTGAGGAAGTAAGTTACAGAAGCTCAGAATCATTCCAGTTAAAATGGCTATTGTTTTCAGAACACTTTCACTGAAGAATGAGGCTTTGCTTTGCTTGAGGCTGCATCCTGCCTAACATTCATTCATGCAGTTTTTATTGACAATAATGCAGCTTTCATGTGTGAATGAGGCTGAGAAGAAGAGGAATAGACATTTTTAGTGTGCAAAATATGTTACCCTGGGCTGATACAAGTTCTGGGATTTTTTTTCATTCCACAAAATAGTAAAAATAATAAGGCTAAAAGGTTCTGGAATGTAATTTGTCAAAATCCGTAAAATTTGGGGAAGAGAAGATAATCCCACAAAGGACTAAACAGGTGCATGTGACATTGATACTTTATTCAAAATACTTAATATAAGCACTAAATTTGACATTAGTTGGTATACTGTGTAAATAGCTGTGCAAATGCATCGCTTCAAACCTGGAAATAATAATTTAAGTAAGTTCAGTTATGGGTATCTTTCCCAGATAGTCATTCTAAATGTATTAGAAGTAGCAACTCCTCCAGACTGGCATTATAAATATCAGAGGTTAAAAAACAGAGGTTTTTGTGTGGTTAAGTGAAATTTGCAAACCACTATCTCATACTGAACAAGAATATTCTTGAGATTCAATTTTTTGTTTGGTCCTTTTTGATGTGAGTGTAGTAACTAATTTAGTACAAATTAAGATGTCATTTAATGTCTATAAATCTCTGTTATTAAGTGCAGTCACTAATCTTCTCTCATGTTTGCCCACAGAAATTTTGTGCAAGCCAGTAGTATTTTTCCTGCGTGGCAAACCTATCCCCAAGCGAATGCTCCCACCTGAAGACCTCGTCCGTTACTACACAGATCCCAGGAATCGCGGCTACCTGGCAGATCCATCTAAGGTTGCAGAAGCCAGGCTGGAACTTGCCAAAAAATATGGCTATGTCTTACCAGACATAACTAAGGATGAACTCTTTAAGATGTTAAGTGCACGCAAGGATCCTAGACAGATATTTTTTGGTCTTGCTCCAGGATGGATTGTAAACCTGGCAGACAAGAAAATTCTGAAACCAACTGATGAGAGTCTGTTGAAATACTACAGCACATGAATTCTGGACACAATTGCAGGTGTACAGGAAACATCTGGGTATGAAATAATGGGTAGAAGTGGTGTGTGTTTGTTTGTTTTTAAGATTCCTCTGACTAGAAAAAAAACATTTTTTTTCTTCATGTAATCTTTTGGTGTAACTCTCAACTTTTTTATTGTCATAATAGAGTGTATCAGAAGTCTTAACATTTGAAAACAATGTGGAGTCTGACATAAAGTGTGTGTCTGGGCACTTTCTCTTCCAGTGGTTTGCCAGTTATTTTTTTCAGACAAAAGGTTTTGGTGTTGCATTTGTTTCAGAGGATAATTCCAAAGAGTCATTTGACCTAATAATTAGTTTATATTTCCCCCTCTCAGTTTAAAATCGGAAACATGACTGTACAAAACCAAAATTAGTTTGCCAGTCATATTGCATAAAATTTCTAGATGAAAGTTCTAGAAAATGTATCTTGAATAGCTCTCAGAGGTATTTTTGGTTGGGGAAAAATGAAAATAACCAGAAATAAAAAAGTACTAAAGATTGCATTAAGCTCTTCCATTTCATAGCTATATTTTGGGTTTTGCAATTGCTGTCAATAGCACTAGAGCTTGAGAGATCTTGATTTTTCTTTTATTTCTTCATATGCAATTGAGGAGGACAGAGTGTGCAGTTTAACATAACTTTCTGCCGAAATTTGGGGCTGAGGAGGGGAAGATAGCGGTCTTGATTCAATGGCTTTTATTATTCAGAATTTAAAACTTGTCCTGACACAAATGTAATCTTATTAATGAAAATGCATAGCAGAATCCAGAGTCAATCAATGACAGTGACAGCAGATTATGAAGGATGGGGATGTGATGGACAAAGTATAGTCAGTTTTCAGCTTGATCACAGATTGCATGTGTGACAGCAGACAAATTAATTTAAATGTTGTGAAAAGTTATGAGCAAATTGTATTTATGGGAGACAGCATTTTAATCACACCAACTTGATCAAATCTTGAAAAATATTCTTCAAAAAAGGTTTGTTTTATCAGTCTTTCCACAATACTGCATTATTACTGTGCAGGAGTATTGTAGGTTTTGTGTGGAAGCATTGGGCGTTGTGTGGGCTGGGCATTTGAGACAGTGAACCAGACAGTAAAGAAGGGTGAGAGGGGAGACCAAGATGATGTATCAGAATGTGCTCTGACTGCTTGGAAGTTAATGAGCTGCTTCATAATTATGTGGTTTAATGGAAGCTGAATTTGGCTTTAAAATAGTAATAATTTGATTATAAGAATGCAGGAAACAGTTCAGGAGAACAGAACATGAGATGTCATCTTGCTTTCCAATTTTGATGCGCCTTTGGAAATGCTACTTAGATTTTCCTGTAGCTGCCAAACCATCCCATCTCATAGGGAAAGTCCTCTGTGTGCTGGAATCTCCTCTTTCTCCTGTGTAACATCTGTATTTTGCTGGTATACCTCAATGGGGGAGGATTTAAGAAAAATCTTCTTTTTCTTTCAGACAGTAAAATCAAGCGGATGAATTTTTGTTGGTGTTTGTCAACCAGCGCAGATTTTTCCTTCAGTCAACAACCTGCCTTACCAATTAATATGACCATCTGTAATCACAGAACAAAATAAAACAAGTCTTCTCATTCTGATGAAATAGTCTGAAATCAAGAGATTAAGAATAAAAAGTCACTAAATTTTGAAAACTTACTCTTCAACTTCTATTGTTCCTTGTTAATGTGTGTTAAATGCTATCAGTAATGGTCATTCCCCTGACTTGGGGTTTAAGTATAGGTGAAACGTAGCAAAACAACAGCAATATAAAATTGGACTATGAATAGCAGGAATTTTGTTTTAGTGGCATTAACATTCATATTTTATAAGGTGTCCAACACTTTTTTGGCACGTTAAGAATAATACTGTGTGCCAGAAAAAGTACAGTTGGTGTTAACTTGAATGTGAAGTAAATAACTTTCTCACTTTAGATGTATCCTGTTCTGCATCCTGATGATTGTTGGTTTGGAACCTTAAATGACAAGCAATACTTTTTTTTTTTTTTCAAGTTTTTGTTATTAAAATAACTTTACAATAACAATATTACTACTGCCTCCATTTGGGAAGGAGTTGGAGAGGGGGAAGAGTATTTATTGCCTTCCCTTATTTGTGCCATAATGTTTCTGTTTTTATGAATCAATTCACAATTGTATTTTGTGGAGGTGGTGGTACTCAACAGGAAAGCTACTTAACTGGAAGTGAAGAAGGAAGTTAGTCATATTAGTGAAGACCAGAAGACAAAAGTGTTTATGTATCATTGTGTATTTTGGGGAGGAGAAGACGGGGGAAGGCAAGTTTGTTTCCATTTCTGCTCTTTGTATTAAAATGAACAAATTGCTCTCAGCAAGTTTTTTTCTGAATCTACTTCTTTGATACACACACGCGTGGGCACGCTGGTTTCTGTACGTTTCTAAATGGTTTTCAGGTGAAAGGGTAACTTGGATAAAATGATAACAGTGAAAGAAAGAATGAAAACAGGAAACAGATGTCTGGTGACGTTGAGGGATTGGATAGCACTTATTCAGTGGACGATGTCTTAGTCACAAGGCAGCTGTATCCTGGCTCTGATACTACAACGCTACAAATACCTTGGAGCCAAAACAGCCACGTTCCACAAAATCCGGTCATTCTACTTTATAGAGGTGATCTTTTATCATCTTATAGTTGGAGAGGGCAAAAAAGGGCTATATGTTCCTTTATTTTAAATATGCAATGCTTGCCTTTTTTTCTCTCCTGTTAACAGTAGCCAGTATTTTGTATCAGTTGTTTGCATTTTTATTTACTAGTGCAAAAAGTCACAAAGCTATAGAGGATTTCCTGTTCATTTTATCTCATCAGGAACACAAGTCTCCTAGCAACCAAATATAGAATTATCAAAAGCACAAGTAAGTTATTGACAAGGTTTCTAATAAATCCATAATAAACAGTGTCCCAAAGGACTGTTGTTTATATGTCAGGCATACTGGTGCAAGACTAAGCCAATGCAGGTATCTAAAACCATTCTTGTTACTTAGGTATGTGGATCGTGTTTTCACGTTCATAAGATAAAGGATTGTCTTGGATATCCTGTTTTGACAGGGCTTTTTCATGTGCAACAAGGTGTGACACAGCAAGAATACCCAATCTACTGCAGGTGGAAAAGTATTATAGGGTAGCTGAGGAAAAGGAACTTTTGTTTGTATCACAAAATGCTGAAGCCCATGTCAATTTTTATCAGCAACATCGTATTTCTGAATGACTACTTGAGTAAACTGATTACTGATGTGAGACTAATCTAAATAAAGGTCTGTAAACATATACATACCTTGTTTTATCCTGTGATAATTAGAAATCATGTGTTTCTTGGGAACAGATTTACTGACTGCAGCCCGCCAATGCTATGCTTACAGGTGGCTCACTCCAGACTCAAAATGAAGTAGATTAAAATGTGATTTCCCTTCTGTCACAAGTATAACAGTGATAACCTGGCTTCATTATACTTCATATAAAATTTGTGTTTAGCAGTCAAAAATTGACTGTACACTCCACTGATTTCCAAAAAGGAATAAATCAAATCAGTGGCCCTGATCTGAATCTTCACTGGCAGTGTGCCAGCATTGTTTTGGCATAGAAGCATGATTGATGTTAGTCCTCCAGGAAGTCATATAAAAGTGATCAATTAGGAAGATACCTTCTCATTACTGTTTTATTATTTTCTACTATAATTTCTATTTTCTGTTATTTTCGATATTAAAACCTTAAAGGCTAACGCAAAACTAATTTTGCACTGTTTAACACAAGTTCTGTATGCAATTTGAAATTGTTGCACAAGTCCCATATTTTAAATATTCAACCATTATGTATATCTAAAACAGGCTCTCTATATCCAAAATGTCCCGTTTAATATTTCATATGCAGCTTTATGTTTTAAAATTTTCTAAAAATATGTAATCAGACAAATAATTTTATGTAGCTCACAATCTGCACTTCAGTTTAAGGCTATGGTTTACTCTATGAAAAGAGAGGTCCAAGTCTGACAGGGTTCTTGCCCATTACAGGAAAATAATGAACATTTTCAGCTCCTTTATCTCCCACCCAGGTGGCTCCTCTTGGTCTTTTGTAGCAGAAATACACTGCATTGTCTAAAGAAGGATGGTTTCTCAGTGGAACAAACTATCCTCAGATGTATTCTGTCTCCTGTGCTTAATATTCCCTCTGAAGCATCTGCATCTTCCCAAGGTCTCTTCTCACCTTTCCCGTTGTAGTGGTGGGAACTACAGGGCTCAATCATTCTCACAGTGTCATCCTGTCTGGCCCACTCTGGGTTTGAAAATCTGGTTGTTTTATGTGCCTCTGGAGCAGGAAAAGTGTTGATCATTCCTGCATCTGTTTATATGGGGGGGTTGGGGGGGATTGGCTTGAGTTTCCTGGACTGGTGTTGCTTTTGTTGTTAAAAATGTCAACAGCAATGTTGTTTACTTGTTAACCTTGTAGATTCCAAGCCACTTGCCAAGCAACTTGGAGGGCCCTTTGAGCAGTGGATTTGTGTTTATCAGTCCATGAACACTCCTAGAAGAGTGCCTGTGCATTTAAATCAGAATTGCACACACCAGATACCAGTATGAAAGGACAGACAATTTTGCATTCAATGGATCGATGCCCTAATCTGTCTCTCCTTGCACTTTTCTTCAGCCTCTGTAAGATTCATTCTGTCTCATGGTAACATTATCCTGTCTGGGCTTTAGTCTATAAATATGGGCAGATTAGTCCATATTTAGCTTGAAAATCTGCCATTTTTTCATTCCTTGGCTAGGTAATGAGAGCTAGAAGTTCGGACATAAGAGTGGCCTATGAAAAATAAGTTGATGTTGAAATTTATGGTAAACTAGTTCTCCAGGGGTTTTTGTGGTACAGAGAACCTTAAAATAAAAATATAAATTCACTTGATATCTGACAAGGGAGATGCATTTTTTAGTTGAACATAGCTGTGGTTCAGTGCTGCAAAAATTGGAATTCAAGTTCTTTATGCAGTTATTATAGTGAGGTATTGTGTTAATATCAAAATTAATGCAGGTCTATATTTACATTGCTCACATGTAAACAGTAGTTCAAGCTCCTCTCATAGGAGTCTGGCTGCTTTTGTAGCAATGTGATTGATACAGTCATTATCTAGAGCCTAGAGAAGAGCTATGTTCAGTTTGGAGCAGACATCCAAGCAGTTCGGTGACACTCTAGATTCCACTGACTGTGACAGGGGTGTAACGTAGCACTCTTGTATGCACCCAAAACTTCAGCATCTGGAGCTGAATCCCACTCTTTATTTTCAGTGACCCAAGATGTTTGAAGTTAATGGTCAGAATTTCTCCACAGGATCAACGTATTGCCAGTGTGTGTTGCTGAGCTTGCCATTGGGAACTTGTGAAACTCAATGTACTAGGTTGTATTTATCTTTGAAAATAAGCATGCTTTTAAAATTACTGAGTGAAAAAAGGAATCTAGATGATCTACTGGTGCCACGAGAGGTGAGATGCTGGCAATCAGACAGTGTTATTTTAAAACTATTGGAGACAGCAACTTCTCCAGGATACAGAATTTGGTGTCATCCCCCTGACTTTCAAGGTGCATGACTCCCAGTTCCCAGCCCTGCACTGATATTTCCAGTCAAAATTTGCCTGCCTGCCTTCTTTTACACTTGTGTAATACACGCTGACATTTCTGCTAGTTCTAATGTATGTGTTTACTCTATAAGCAAAGAACAGAAATTAAACTCACCTTCATTTGCAAAAGAAAAAAATGGGAAAGCAGAATGGTGTCTCTCCTGAGGTGTGTGCTGCACAAGTGCTGCTTGTATTGGCTAGAGAGGGTGACTGAGATGCTTCAACACAGATGTTGTATCTCTGTTCTCTGAGAAGATGCCATAGGGTACCCCCTACAGCTACTGTGACAGCTTGTGCTGTTCATATAAAAGACAGATTTGGTAGTGATGTGCTTGGTTTTTGTGCACAGGCAATCATTTTTCCCTTTTTTTTTTTTTTTTTTTTTTTTTGTTTAATAATTTTATGTAGCTCGCAATCTGCACTTCAGTTTAAGGTTATGGTTTACTCTATGAAAAGAGAGGTCCAAGTCTGACAGGGTTCTTGCCCATTACAGGAAAATAATGAACATTTTCAGCTCCTTTATCTCCCACCCAGGTGGCTCCTCTTGGTCTTTTGTAGCAGAAATACACTGCATTGTCTAAAGAAGGATGGTTTCTCAGTGGAACAAACTATCCTCAGATGTATTCTGTCTCCTGTGCTTAATATTCCCTCTGAAGCATCTGCATCTTCCCAAGGTCTCTTCTCACCTTTCCCGTTGTAGTGGTGGGAACTACAGGGCTCAATCATTCTCACAGTGTCATCCTGTCTGGCCCACTCTGGGTTTGAAAATCTGGTTGTTTTATGTGCCTCTGGAGCAGGAAAAGTGTTGATCATTCCTGCATCTGTTTATATGGGGGGGTTGGGGGGGATTGGCTTGAGTTTCCTGGACTGGTGTTGCTTTTGTTGTTAAAAATGTCAACAGCAATGTTGTTTACTTGTTAACCTTGTAGATTCCAAGCCACTTGCCAAGCAACTTGGAGGGCCCTTTGAGCAGTGGATTTGTGTTTATCAGTCCATGAACACTCCTAGAAGAGTGCCTGTGCATTTAAATCAGAATTGCACACACCAGATACCAGTATGAAAGGACAGACAATTTTGCATTCAATGGATCGATGCCCTAATCTGTCTCTCCTTGCACATTTCTTCAGCCTCTGTAAGATTCATTCTGTCTCATGGTAACATTGTCCTGTCTGGGCTTTAGTCTATAAATATGGGCAGATTAGTCCATATTTAGCTTGAAAATCTGCCATTTTTTCATTCCTTGGCTAGGTAATGAGAGCTAGAAGTTCGGACATAAGAGTGGCCTATGAAAAATAAGTTGATGTTGAAATTTATGGTAAACTAGTTCTCCAGGGGTTTTTGTGGTACAGAGAACCTTAAAATAAAAATATAAATTCACTTGATATCTGACAAGGGAGATGCATTTTTTAGTTGAACATAGCTGTGGTTCAGTGCTGCAAAAATTGGAATTCAAGTTCTTTATGCAGTTATTATAGTGAGGTATTGTGTTAATATCAAAATTAATGCAGGTCTATATTTACACTGCTCATGTGTAAACAGTACTTCCAATTCCTCTCATAGGAGTCTTGCGTGAGGTACTGTGTTAATATCAAAATTAATGCAGGTCTATATTTACACTGCTCATGTGTAAACAGTACTTCCAATTCCTCTCATAGGAGTCTTGCTGCTTTTGTAGTAATGTGATTGATTAGTCATTATCTAGAGCCTAGAGAAGAGCCATGTTCAGTTTGGAGCAGACATCCAAGCAGTTCGGTGACACTCTAGATTCCACTGACTGTGACAGGGGTGTAACGTAGCACTCTTGTATGCACCCAAAACTTCAGCATCTGGAGCTGAATCCCACTCTTTGTTTTCAGTGACCCAAGATGTTTGAATTAATGGTCAGAATTTCTCCACAGGATCAGCATACTGCCAGTGTGTGTTGCTGAGCTTTGCCATTGGGAACTTGTGAAACTCAATGTTGCACTTATTGCAGCAGGCAGTCTGAGTATGGGCCATGTACTAGGCTTGAAAATGTTCCAGACAAAATATTATTATACTGGTTTTACGTTGGACTTGGGTGATGTGATGTTGCTGCTGCCCTGACTTCCAGGTAAAATGTCTGAGCTAAATGTGACTTTGCTGTTGGGCTTTGTTTTTATTGTTGTGTTTGGAAGGCTCCAGCCCTTCCAAGTTCATCATTAAAGGCAGGTATTTACTGTAGAATGATCATGAAATGAATTAACATAGTGAGGATGTGATTGTGTAGTAAAATTCTACCTAGATCAGTTTTTGTGCATTCATTTTGATGTCTGTGAGGGGGTTGAAGCACTGGGGTGCTCTGATTTTGTGTTTGATGTGGGAAAGTTTATCTGTCTGTTAAGGGAACCTAAGAAGAAAATGGGAGGTAAACACCAGTCAAGTAATTTCTGCTGCATCTTGTGAAAACTGCATGTTGTTCCAATTCCAGCTGTTGTTCTTGACTGAGCTGGATGACTTTGCTTATGGCATATTGGAAAACTGCAGTGGCAGCAGATCACCATGGGTACTGACATGCACCTATGGTACTATGGCAGGCTGGGGCCAAAAAAAAATAAGTTTGGAGACTTGGGAACATGAGAATCAAGGTATGAAAATCCACCTGAAGAGATTCCATAGTCAGAAATGTGTATTCCTCAACAC